AAATCCAAGCAACCGTTTTCCCCCCATTTCACCCCCTATAAATAGGAGTCATCAGACTTCACTCGCCTTTATTTGCCATTTCCTCCGTCCTTCGCGCATTTCGATTCCCCAGTAAAGAGGCTTCCGGCTCTTTGTGCCCAGATTCTGGCGACTTCTTCATCCCTTTCCCTGCTCCAGTCATCAGTAAGTCTTTCCCCTTCCCCCTTCCCCCTTCACCTTCACATTTTCCTTTCCTCCGCCACCTCCTGCTTTTTATGTCCGATCATTCTGACGTTACTTCCACCGCGTCCCAAATTCCGGCCCGCCGTAGAGTCCCCCAGATTGTCATTTCTTCGTCTTCCTTCTCACCTTCTCCTTCCCCCCCTCCTCTTCTTCTTCTAATTCTTACTTCCCCATTCCTGACTTACTTGAGCCCATTGCAATCATGAGCTCTCCCTCTGCCCACTCTCCTTCAGCCCGAGACCTAGAGGAGGCGGTCGAGCTCAACGCCTATATGGAGCAAAAGGCCACCTCCGTCTCTTCTCCCCAGTCTCCACATGATTCCCCGGGCGGAGCCCAGGGAGGAGTTGGAGAGGATAGGGATTCCTCCGAGGGGACCCCTGCCCCTGAAGAGGAGGGTGATCCCGAATCCAACTACGGGTACCCCGACCACGAAGAGGTCACCCTCTCACCCGAGACGGTGGCCGAGTTGGTCAGGTCCTTCTCCATCCCTCCGGCCTTCGAGCCCAGGGCTGCCGGGCCCAACGACCGAGCCAGCCGACCTCCTCCTGGTTTCGTAGCCATCTACAGGGAGCAGCTGATCGGGGGGCTCCGACTGCCAATACCTCCAGCCCTGACTGAGATCCTGAGCTATTGGGGGCTCAGAATCACCCAGGTCCATCCTAACTCGATCAGGATCATCATAGGATTCCTGATCTACTGCCAAATCTGCTCCATCCCTTACTCTCTCTCCCTCTTCCAAGCTACTTACATCCTCAAGACCTCCCTCGCTGGGTGGTATTACTTCTCCCGCCGTACCGGGAACCAAGGTCGGGGGGATAAGAGCACCCAGGACCTGTTCTTCGCGTTCCCTACTTCCATCAAGAACTGGAAGGGGGACTTCTTCTTCGTCAAATCCACTGGCTTTGATGCCACCGTGTGGAAGGTCGGGGAGGTCAAATCCGATCCCTACCCGGAGGACCTGGACTCGGAGACCCTCATCCAGCTGGTGAGCTCTAAGGTGAAACTCCATGCCACCAAGTTCTCCACCCAGCAGATCTCTGCGGCCGGGCTGATGGGGACAATGTCCGGGTCCCCTGGCGAGGTGGTGGCCTCCCCTATCAACCTCGACGCCTGTAACGCCGACTCTGTCCCTGTAGCTCGTTGTATTTGCATATCTGTCATATATTCTCCTACCGACCTGTTTTGGCTGACCTAACAATGTTTTTCACAGTGAGGAGGTTATCCAAGCTGCTAGGCGCGTCCACTGAGGAGGCTACCCCCACTCCCCAGCCAGAGGCGGCCAAAGAGGCCTCTGGGGCGACTTCAACCCCGGGGGGCGGCCAAGCCCCCCAGAAGGAAGCGCATGACACCTCCTCTCCCTCCAAGAAGGCCGCCAACAACAAGAAGAATGCGACCGGGAAGAAGAGGGGTCGAGGAGACGAGCCCTCCCAGCCCGGGAAGAAGCTCGCGCTGGTCCCAACACAGCCCCCTCCCCTTACGCTGGCATCGGGGAAGCCAATCCACCTGGGCGTTGACTCTGCCGAGGAGTATGCCCGGGAGTCGCCTCCCCCGAGGTTGTGGCACTTCCGCCACATAGCTCCCTTGAAGCCGGGCCAAGTCCCCACAATGCATGACTCCCACCAGTTCTGTCCGTCCTGGGGGCTTTCCATCAATGACCGGACCCAGTTCCCCGAGGTGGCACGCTAGCTGGTAGCGGGTTCGGTCCTTCCGTGCGATAGGAGGTGGATGGAGTTGGCCTCCCCCTCCGAGGTCCAGGACGCGTACTACGCGGCCCAGGCTCAAGTAAGTTTTCCAGCTATTGGGCCAGTTGTGCCTCTGTGTTTGGACTAGACAGCGCAATGCGCTGACCAGTTTTCCCTCCTCCTCAGGCCAACGCCGCTGGTGCTGCCCTGGCGACCCGTTTCTCCGAGCTGTCTCCCAACTTGGAGAAATTGTGAAAGAAGAATCGGGAGACAGAGCAGAGGCTTACCCAGGCCCTTAAGGAGGTGGACTCCCTTAAGGCCAAACTGGACAAGGCCGAGAAAGGGCTGGAGACGGCTCAAGTCCAACTCGTCTCGGCCAGGTCGGAGCTCGACCAAGAGAAGGCCGGCGTGGCCAAGCTGAAGGAAGACCACGCCATCGAGCTCTCCGGCACCGTCAGCCGGGAGCGAAAGAAGGCAGTCCGGAAGTACATCTCCTCCGAACAGTTTGCCGAGGACGTCGCCCTCCTCAACGAGCCCATCCTCCAGATCGGCTTCACCCGAGCCCTAGACAAGGTCAAGGAACTCGGCCTGCCTGGCTTCGACTTGGCCGCTTTCAAGGAGTAAAACTCTAAAGCCGAGGAGAAGGTAGACTGGCTCTTTGACGGGTATTGCAAGGGGTATGCCTTGAAGGAGCTAGCGGGCAGGAGTGATGTGGGAGCCGACCTGGTGGAGGTTCCCCTGGAGGAGAACGAGGCTCCCGACAGAGCTCCCGGCAAGGAGCCGGTAGCCTAGGGCGGCGACCACTCCAGAAACCCTTTCCATCTTCTTATAAGGATGTGACCATGCTCCAATTGAAAATGCTCTTGAAGGTCCATCTGAGATGGAAGGCTCCCCTGCTTCTGGGTTCCTGAATAGCCTTCACCATACGCCTCTCAACATGCTTAAGGTGTACCTTCAGCCCCTGCTCCAAGCAGGTTACCAGCAAGAAGAAGAGTGTCCGAACTGTTCTCCTTTTGTGGCTCGGTAGGCTCTGTAACAGAGAGGCGACTTGGAAGCTTTGTAATAGATAGGCGACTTGGGAGCTTTGTAATAGATAGGCGACTTGGAAGCTTTGTAATAGATAGGTTTTGAATTCATATATGAAACTTGAAGGAAATTTTCTCGCAACTCTTGCCTGCGCCCAACTCTAGCAACCAAAGCCATGTGCCGACCTCCTGGGTCGAGCACCAAATATATACCCCCGTTAATCTAACAACTAAATCATTAGAGGCAACCAGATTGTCGAAACCCTGTGCCGACCTCCCGGGTCGAGCACCACGCCGTCCTACCAAAGCAACGTGCCAGCCTCTTGGGGCTGAACACCAAACCTTAAGGATTTTTCCCGCCGACCTCCTGGGTCGAGCGTCGAACCTTGAATCCCATCAGGCCCAGAATAGTCCACTCCACGCCGACCTCTCGTGGCCGAGCGTCGAGCTCTCAGATTCCCAAGCTTTAACCCTTGCCGACCTCTCGGGGTCGAGCATCGCACTTCGCAATGGCGTCCGCCGACCTCTCGAGGCCGAGCGTGGAATTTTCAGAATCTTTCACAGTTTTCCAGTCGTGCCGACCTCCTGGGGTCGAGCACTCCCGCACTCTCAAAGGCATCCCGCATCCATTACTAACTCTTAGCCCCCCACTAGGACATTTAGTGAGGGAACGCTAAGTGTGCTAGTATAAGATTCAAACTTAAAAGGCAAACAAGTACAAATGAAATTAAAACTTGAAAGTCGAGCATTTATTGAATGATGAAATTGAAATTCGGATTCCAAAAAACAGACAACCGAACACCCTAGTCTAACCTATGCTACAAACAGTCGCAGATTGGAGAAGTGCCAAGTGCGGGGTACCTCTGATCCATCTATTTTCGCGAGCTTGCAGTAGCCAGTTCGGCTCGCCTCAAGGACCTTGTATGGGCCTTCCCAATTCGGGTCAAGCTTGTTGGAGCCATGAGCTCGGCTGACCGAGTTCTTCCTTAGGACAAGGTTCCCCGGCTGGTACTGTATGGTTCTCACTCTGGCGTTATGATAGCGGCGAGCTGGCCTTTGTACTTAGCTATTCGTACCGCCGCTTCCTCACGCTTAGCCTCCAGCATGTCCAAGTTGCACCTCAGCTCTTCCTCATTGGATGACGCAACAAAGTTCTGTGTCCGGGGCTAGGGGAGACCAATCTCCGCGGGTACCACCGCTTCTACTCCGTAAGTCAGAGAGAACGGGGTCTCGTGGGTTGCCGTTCTGGGCGTAGTGTGGTAAGCCTAGAGGACACTAGGGAGTTCATCCAACCAGTTAGACTGGGCCAGTTCCAGCCTAGTTTTCAATCCTTGGAGGATGGTTCGATTGGCATTTTCCACCTGGCCGTTGGCTTGGGGATGGCCGACCGATGTAAAGTGCTGATTGATCCCGAGCTCAGCGCACCAGCTCTTGAAGGGGTTTTCTGCGAATTGGCGCTCGTTGTCTGATATTAAGACATGCGGGATCCCGAAGCGGCAGACTATATTCCTCCAGAAGAACTTCTGAATTGCCCTCCCAGAGATAGAGACCAGGGGCTCTACTTCCATCTATTTCGTGAAATAGTCTATGGCCACCACGAGGTGCTCATATCTCCCCGGGACTCGGGGGAAGGGACCCAGAAGGTCTACCCCCCATTGAGCGAAGGGCCAGGGACTGTGGATGGGGATCATTTCTCGAGCTGGCTGGTGGCGCAGTGGGGCGTGCACCTGGCAGGCTCGGCATTTCTGTACCAGTTCTGCGGCATCTTGGAAGACGGAGGGCCAGTATAGCCCAAGAGAATGCACTTTTTGGCCAATATCCGGGACCCCACATGTGCCGCACATATCCCTTCATGGATTTCGCGAAGGACGTAGTCACCTTCCTCGGGAGTCACGCACTTTAGCCAGGGAGATAAGTATGACCTCCTGTAGAGGGTTCCCCCAGTGTAGGCGTACTTGACAGCTCTGAGTTGGATCCGGCGAGCCTCGGTTTTGTTCTTAGGGAGGGCACCCGAGCTGAGGAAATTTACTAATGGGGTCATCCAGGTGGCCGAGCTGTCTATAGCCAGGATCTAGATTTGGTCGATACTTTTCTGCTTTACCACCTCTACCAAAACTTCCTTGTTCAGGTGCGCAAACGAGGAGGATGCCAGCTTTGACAGGGCGTCTGCAAGCTTGTTTTGCGATCTTGGCACCCGCTCAATTTCAAAGGTATCAAACGGGGCTATTGCCTCCTGCACCTTGGCCAGATATTTCTTCATGATCTCCTCCTTGACCTCGTATTCCCCGCGGACTTGGAGGACAACGAGCTGAGAGTCGCTCCGGACTTTGATCGCGGTTATACCCATCTGGTGGGCTATCCGCAACCCCGTCAATAGGGCCTCATACTCAGCCTCATTGTTAGATGCGGGAAAGTCAAACCGGAGAGCATAGGTCAACTCTTCCCCGGTTGGCGAGATGAGCAGCAGACCTGCTCCGCTTCCTTCCTTGCTGGAGGCCCCGTCTACGAACAACACCCATGGCTTCCTCAGCCGTACATCCTCGCGCAGAGGGCTTAGTTCGGTTAGGGTCAAGTTGGCCCCCTCAGCAAGGAAGTCTGCCAAGGCCTAAGCCTTGATGGCTGTGCGAGGCTGATAGCGATGTCATGTTCGGCCAGCTCGATGGCCCACTTGGTCATCGGACCCGAGACCTCGGGCTTGGCAAGTATCTGCCGTAAGGGCTGATCGGTCACGATGACGATGCTGTGGGCCTGGAAATAAGGCCGGAGCTTGCGGGCAGCATGCACCAAGGCTAGGACCAACTTCTCAGCCGGCGTGTATCGCGTCTCCGGCCCTTGTAAAGCACGGTTGACATAGTATATAGGCCTCTGAACCCCCCTGTCCTCCCGCACCAAGACCGCGCTAACGGCTTTGTTGCAAGCAGACAGGTATAGGAACAGGGTCTCCCCCTGCTCCAGGGCGGTCAGGGTGGGTAGCTCTGCTAAGTATGCCTTCAGGTCGGCGAAAGCTCTCTGGCACTCCTCCGTCCATTGGAAGTCTTTAGGCGCTTTTAGGACATTAAAGAAGGGCAGCCCCCTGACCGCGGAGCGCGAGGGGAATCTGTTCAGGGCAGCCATCCTTCCTGTGAGCCGCTGGACCTCCTTCACGTTCCTTGGGGGTGCCATGTCCATGATAGCTTGGAGCTTATCCGGGTTGGCCCGGATCCCGTCCCGAGACACCAGGAATCCTAAGAACCTTCCCGACCTGACCCCGAAGGTACATTTTTTCGGATTCAGCCGCGTCCGGCTCTCCCGCAGGATGCCCAAGATTTCCCTCAGGTCGGGGACGAGCTGCTGATCAGTTCGACTCTTGACGATCATGTCATCCACGTAGACCTCCATGCTCCTGCCGATCTGATTCTGGAACAGTTTATTGACCAAGCGCTGGTAGGTAGCTCCCGCATTCTTCAAGCCAAACGGCATAGTCCGGTAGTAGTAGGTTCCTTCCTCTATGATGAAGGAGGTCTTTTCCCGGTCCTCCTCAACCATCTCTATCTGGTGGTACCCCTTAAAGGTATCCAGAAAGTACAAAACATCAAATCCCACAATAGAATCTACTAACCTGTCGATTCTTGGTAGAGGAAAGTAGTCCTTTGGGCAAGCTTTGTTGAGATCCGTGAAATCCACACACATCCTCCAGGTCTGATCCTCCTTCTTTACCAGCACCGGGTTGGCTAACCAGGTTGAATAGTAGACCTCTAGGATGATCTGGGACTCCAGCAGTTTCCCGACCTCCTTTTTGATCACCTCATTCCTTTCTGGGCGAAACTCCTCTTTATCTGCTTCACTGTCTTGAAGCGGGGATTCACGTTGAGGTGGTGTACTGCAAGGTCGGTCGGGATCTCGGGCATGTCATTAACTGACCAGGCGAAGACTTGGGAATATTCCCTCAATAGGGCCTTCAAATCTTTCTTCTCCTCAGGAGGCAGCAGCTTGCCGATGCGGATTACCTGGTCAGGCCGATCTTCCCTCAGGGGGAACTCCTCGACCTCGTCCTCGGTGCCCAGCTGCCGAGCCTCCTCACCCGGGATGTAGGGCTCCAAGCAGCCCGTTTGGGCGACCAGCTTCTCCTGCCCCCGAAGCATGGCCAAGTAACACGCTCTGGCCACCTCGGGATCACCACGCACGTCGGCTATCCCTCCCGAGGTGGGGAATTTGACGCTAAGGTGGAGCGTGGAGGGTATAGCTCGGAGGGCGTTCAAGGCAGGCCGACCCAGGAACACATTGTACGGGGATGGCTGCTTGACTACCACGAAATTACCTGGGATGGTCCGGCATTTGGGGGCCTGTCCTACCGTGACCATCAAGGTGATCATGCCTTCCGGGTTGACAGGCGGCCCGGTGAAGCTCATCAGGGGTGTTCGAACCGGGGTCAGCTGCCCGTGCTCTAAGCCGAACTCCTTGAACACCCGATAGAACATAATATCAACTGCACTTCCTTGGTCGGCGTACACCTTCTTTACCCAGTGGTTGTTGGTGATAATGTCTATCACGATGGCCTCGTGATTCCCGGACGCGTCACGCCGCTCAAGGCGGTCGCGCCGCTGGCCTTCACCCCGATCTCTGCGGTAGGTGCGTCCGGACTCCTGGCCTGGGCGACCTTGCCGCACGAACCATTCCAGGAAATCGTGTTGGATCAGATCTTCGATCTCCTTCCGCAGGGTCCAGCATCCCTCCGTGTCGTGTCCCACGTCGTGGTGGAAGGCGCAGTACCGGTCCTGGTTTCTTTTGTTCCGAGGTGTCCCCATCTTGGGCGGCCGGTCTCCCAGGCTTTCCGCCTCCATAACAGCCAAGATTTGGGCTCTAGGCTGTGTCAGGGGGGTGTAGCCCTTCTCCGGGAGTGGTGGCGGAGCAGGGGCTTTTTCCCTCGTGAGCCGGTCAAAGACGTTCTTTTTGGCCGGGCCGTCCTTGTTCTCAGGGTGGTTTTCCCGTCCTCTCCGATCCCCGAGACCGCGATCTGACTCTTTCTTCAGGCGAGTTGCTTCCTCGACATTGGCGGCCGCGTGCGCCCTTTTTAAGAGCTCTTCCAGATTTGCGGGGGCTGCTCAACCAACTTGTAGAAGAGGTCCTCCACCCTGAGCCCGTTCATAAAGGCAGCCATGACCACCTTTTCGTCCTTGTCCCTGACCTGTAAGCTCTCCGTGTTAAAGTGGGTCATGAAAGTTCTCAGTGACTCGTCGGACCTCTGCCTGATTATCATCAGGTGGGTCGCGTTCTTTGAGTAAGTTTTGGAGGAGACGAATTGGGCGACAAATTGCCTGGCCAACTCGGAAAAACTCCGGATAGTCCCCGGGGCCAGGCCTTGGAACCAAAGCCGGGCTTTTCCCTTCAGGAACATGGGGAAGGTCTTGCAGCGGATCTCGTCCGCCGCAGTTTGCAGGCACATGTGTGTCAGGAAGACCGAGAGGTGGTCCTCCGGGTCGGTCGAGGCATCGTACATCTCGATGCTGGGGATCTTGAATCTCCGGGGTAGCGAGTAGTCCTCTTTTTCCCGGGTAAAGGGTGAGGTCGCGTAATTGTCGTCATACAGTTACGGCCGCATGATCTGTTCGAGTTCATCTCTGACAGGTTTCCACTGATGGGGGTCACGCGGCCGGCTCTTAACAGATCGAGCAGGAGAGCGCTCGAGCCCGTTCCCCGTGGGTTTTCGTGGGGAAGGGTCTCTTGGACAGCTCCCCACAGTCCGACCGCTGGAGTTCCTCTCGCTGTCTCCGACCACCGAGGCCCGCGGACGAGGGGGGTCCGCGGCCGTTTCCTCCTAGGAGGTTGATCCCGCAACTCATCCTCGGAGGGGACGAGCTGGGGCTCCTTTCCCTTGTCCCTCGCCTTGGAGGTCTGCACGCCTCCAGCCCCTTCCCCCTCCTTCGCCTGCCGGATTATGTCTTCCAGCATGGGGAGATTCTCCGTTACGAATTGGAAGATCTGCTGCCTCCTCTCTCCTGAAAGGGCTGAGCCCCCGGCGCCCCGGGCCGCCTCAGCCTCCATTCGCTGGGATCCCTCACCGCCTCCAGGGCTGGTGCTCTCTATCGTTCGCTTGGATCGCGTTCTTGCCATCAACACAATCTTGATTACCTTACGATTCCCACAGACGACGCCAATTAAAGAAGCGCTGAGCTTCCCCGGACCGAGCTGATCGGATGAGCTCGACATGCTGATGGACGAGCTGGTTCCAAACCTGCAAGACAAACAAGAATGAACTAGCAAAGGGGGCCCGGGGGTTGTTCCCGAGGGCACTCCGACGGTCAAGTTAGTTTTCCGGTGAGTCCAATTCACGGGAGTAAACAGTCGAGAGTCGTTCGCCAATAGTGAGCGTACCTTGTGTAAGTGGCGTGCATTACCATTTATACCTTCTTGGGAGTCCGACCTCCGTACGTTTCGGGACTTGCCCGGTATAGTCCCTATTCCGCGCTGAGGGGGATTTCCTCCGACCTCTGCGGGATGGTCCCCTGTCCCTTCCGGAGCCCTAGCAGCAGCGCGGCCCAGGACGGCTGCTAGGAGCCTGGGGCTAAGGCCCAACTCGGCCATACCTGGACTGCCACGTGTCCAATCCCAGGACGGGGCCTCTGCACCCAGAAACGTCATTAAGAAGTTCTTGTAGTGCCCTGATGTGTCACCAATGATTGCATTATCAAGACTGCTTTTGTGCATGTTGAAATATTCTCCTCTAACTTTCATCATATCAATCTCTGCTCGAGTTACAATAGCTCTGGTCAGAGAATCCTCATCAATCCGGAGGCCAATGATCGAAGCTCTAATCACCTGATGTGTTTTAATCAAAGGAAATTGCAAGGTAAATGTGATCTATAAGAAGAATATTCGATCAAGCTTTTTACTTTTTGGATCAGAAATTTTCACAATAGAACCGTGAGTCAAAGTTCACAACTTTCTGTATCTTGCAAGAGTTAAGTCTCCATTTCAATAAAAACGAATGGAAATTGAAGATCAATTATTCAGAATGAAGCCTATACTTCCAGAGCGGTGTAACAGATTTTCTCCAAACCTGCTCCAAACATGCGTGCATAGAGAGAGAGACAGAGAGAGAGAGATTAACCTTGCTGGTGGTGATATGAGAGAGACTAAGTTGAGAAAGGAATTTTAAAAGTGAATAAATTATCGATGGGCATGAACTCCAGCAAGATTTCGGACTTGTAAGTCTAATCAAGACAAGAAGCACAACTATTTTCTTCACCAGCGCAACCAATGCTCTAACTTCCTATACTAAGATGAACAATTCTGGCAACTATGAGTGCATTTCAAACTATGATGATCATGTAGTCAATTAAGTTAATCAATGAATTGATACAGAGGCACATTTGTTTGCTGAATTTATAGCTAATAGCCTTAAAAACCTTAGCTTCTGTATTTTCCATCGTCAAAAGAACGGGTATCTATGAAATATGGGTAATCCCAAATGTTTCATCTGAATAAATTCCAACCACATGAAAGGCTTTTAGGCTCCTTTCACCAGCTAGATGCTTCGCGTTGCATTACCACTACAAGTAGTGGGGAAAAGAAAAGTGAAGCAGAGAATGTAACATATAATAAAGTTTTCTTTGAGCTTATACTTAATAAGCATTGCTGCAGATATCAAGATACATTGCTTCAGTGTTGAAAATAGTTGAATGCACATTTTTAAAAATTGAGAATTAATAGCAATCTAGAGACATAAGAACAGCATCTTTACATATCACTATACTGCTCACGAAATCATTACATTTGAGACATGTTTACCTTATGAGACAAGAAAGAGAAAAAAGCAAAAGGCCGATTCATAAGCTCAAGATGTACCATTTGCATAGAATAATCACTTCAATAATAGTGCAGAGCAGAACCGTTGATGAAAGCATAAATGTATTATTACCTCTGCAAAGTGCTTTTCTAGGGCGTCTATGCACCAAATAGCCACTTTCAAAATAGACTCCAAAGTGCCTTTGCCAGAAGCCATAATATCCTGACAAGATATTTGTGCACAAGACAGGTCGAGTTTAGAGGACAAATACAGAAGTTAGACATATTAAAAAAAGGGAAAAAAAAAAGATAAGAAACTCATTACTAGCATAGGAAGATGAACCTGTTCTATTGAACTCCCATATTTATTCTTCTAGCACTTGAAAGTTTCTCTAAGCTGAAAATAGTTTCTAGTGCTGAGTATCCAAACTAGATCATCATGATCCAACTGCCCCGTTTGAATTGCATCATGTAGAGTAGCTGCCTCTGAATTAGCAACACTAGAATTCACTACTTCTTTGTTAAATCTGTATGAACTTATAAGTCGAACAAGTATCTGTGGAAGTCCAGATGAAATAGTAATTAGGAGCATTATTAATGTGTAACTTACAACATAAGGTTAAAATGTGTTCTGAGCTATGTAAATATGCTCAATGACAGTAATTGATTGGATTATCAACGGATCTTCCAAAGTGAATAGCAGTCTGCCTCAAAATGCACAAGATACCAACAGAAGTAATATCGCTAATGTGGACATTGGCTTCATTACCAATACATGCTCTACCTATATGCTATAATACTGAGTGCGGAGTGCACATAATAGCATCTGTGTTCACATAATTCAAAGCAAATTAATTAACAGGTCGTCGAGCTTGTGCAATAATAATAATAATAACCTAACTACCACTAAAAGCAGTCAATAATTAATCCTAGGTACTGGAGCAGGGACTCTAGATGTGCAATGGGTTACTTGATTCATCCTGTTCTCGAAGAGTTTGCTTAATCCGATATACCAGAATTAACTAGTTGACAAAAATTACTAAACAGTAGACAGCGGTAAGTAGGGTCGTCTCCTCAGGGACTGGGGGTATTTGTCTCTTTTAAATTCCAATTGGTAAAGGGGGATTTTATCGGAATGAAACTAAAAATAATTAAGCAATAAAACAAAAAATGAATAATTAACTAGCACGAATGTAGCAAGAATTAAATCAAGAATAGTTAAATTCTAGCCAAGGATACAACTACTCAGACACAGTCCATTTATCCGATTATTGATGCAAGAGAGGTTCACTTAATTCATTAATAGGCTAGTTATAGTCGCCGATGAACTCTAACAACCAATTTTTCCTTAATTTATAGAAGACCAAGGTACGACTGTTGATCACCCCTAACCAGAAAATACTCCTAGGTACGATCGTAGGAATTAATTTTTCAATTGCATTAATAACTAGAAAAACCTAACCCTAATCAATAACACACTACGAGGGTTATTTAAATTAGATTACACGTTCCCCTAATGTGTAAACACACCAGTTGCCACTAATATTAATCAATCAAACAATTACGGATTTAATTGACTAAATTGGCACGAGATTAATAAATCACATTGAACATCGGGCCCTTGACATCCAATTAATAAAATAATCCCATGAAAATTCAAGCAGACAACGTGCAAATATTAATAAATTGAGGAACGCGTGAAAACTAATTAGATCTCACAGATTTTCGGGACTGCGCCATCGAATTGACCCTTGACTAGATGGAAGGCTTAGCCACGCCGCATAATTAAATCTCCATGCAAATTAATTGATTGCGAAGGCATTGCGTTCTTTTTTTTTTTTACTAGAAAGTAAGGAATAAAATATGTCTTTCCCGTTGGGGAATATTGTCGAACAGTTGGCGTATGTCTGACAAAGGGAAAGGAAAAGAAAAACTAAAACTAAAACTATCCTAAGAGCTAGTGTTCCCCCCACCTATCCGTCTGTTCCCTTCTTAAAGCCAAAGATGACTAATGCTTTTCCTATCTTCCGTGGTCCCCACCATTTTGCCACAAGCAAGCCGAATTCTTCTTGTTTTTTTAGGCCTCCGTGCGTTACTTTCCTTTCTTTAGCCGAATGACTAGTGCTTCTTATCCCGCGGGCCCCCACCGAATTGAGAAGATGAATTACCAAGGATAGGCCCTGCCGAATTGACTCTTGTTTCCTATTGCTAGTAGGACTTCTCCGTACCAGTCTTCTCCTCATCAACAGAAGGGTAGGAAATTAGTTTTTTGTTCCTTTCTTGTGGGCCGTGTTGATAGAGCTTTTTAGAAATCTCCCATGTCTCAAGTAATATGCTCCATAAAGTCCCTCCTTTTTGGTAATTTTCTGCTTCACTCCTGAAATTGATTCTAAATACCAAATATAAGTAAATATTACCAATTAAGACACTATTTGGCAAGGACAAAAGGGGACATTAATAATAAATTACTAACAAATGATACCCTATCAATTCCCCCCACACCTGAATCATGCTTGCCCTCAAGCATGGCGACATCTCAACTCAACAATGGCTAGCTTTCACATTATCATTGCCAGCTGTGCTTATACCGAAATCAAGTTTTAGTGGCTAAGTATCAAGACATATCTCTCCCGGTTAGCTCCTAAGTTCATAGACCCG